AAATAAATAAATAAATAAATAAAATACAGAAGGTGAGGAGACCCAGAAATCCAAGTGCTCACCAAAGTGCTGACCTGAGCTATGGAGAATCTGTAGGGGGAGGGGGATGCAGCGGTAGTAAGTGACTTAACCTCTTCTCAGTTACTGAAAGAAAGGCGATTCCTCTACTGGGTAACACGTAAGACCTTGACAGGTTGAAAGGTGAACTGCTGACTGCAAGGACAACTCCTTTACCAGCTTTCACATTTCCTGCCTTTAGGTTTCATTGGTTATGAGAAGCCACAAAGCCCTTACCGCTTTTTTCGACGCTTTGCTGTCTGCTCCTCTGCAGCAATTTTATTCCTTTCCAGTCTCTTCTGAAACTCTGCATCCAATTTTTGCTGTGAAAAAAACCACATCATTTAGACACACTCTGGGCTGGGGAAGACAGCTCTGGATGTCACACCACTGAGGGGTGCCAAAGGCACATCCAGGTCTCCAGGGCCACCTTAACCATAAGAGGTTGCCCAACAGGATCTGGCTCTCCAATGGCCAAAGTTACTCCATCCGTTCAGTGAGGTAACAGTCATGCACAACAAAATAGGAGAGAAGGTGCACACTGTGCATTCCCTGAGGGCAGAGGCAGAATTACTACCTGTACAGCCAGGGCCTTGGCTAGTGGGATACTGACATTTATAATAAGAAATATACACAGCTGATCTTTGAACAACACAGGTTTGAATTACGCAGGTCCTCCTACATGTGGATTTTTTTCAATAAATATAGTCTAGTACTGTAAATGTATTTTCTCTTTTCTCTGAAAAGACAAACAGTCCTTAATTCATCCTTCCTTCCTCTTTTCTCTCCTGTAAATCCTCAGTATTTTCTTAACATTCTTTTCTCTCACTTTATTATAAGAATACAGTATATAATATGAATATATCTAACAAAAAATAGGTGTTAATTGGCTATTCATATTATCAGTAGGCTTTAGGTCAATAGTTAAGGCTATTAGGGGGTGCCTGGGTGGCTTAGTCTGTGGAGCGTCTGTCTTCAGTTCAGGTCATGATCTCACAGTTCATGAGTTTGAGCCCGGCACCAAGCTCTGTGTTGACAGATTGGAGACTGGAGCCTGCTTCGGATTCTGTGTCTCCCTCTCTCTGCCCCTCCTCCGTTCATGGTCTGTCTCACTCTCTCAAAAATAAATAAATAAACGTTAAAACAATTTAATAGTTAAGGTTATGAAGAGTTTTAGGAGAGTCAAAAGTTATATACAGATTTTTTTACTGTATGATAAGGGGGTTGGTGCCCCTAATCACCTCACTGTTCAAGAGTCAACTGTAGGGGCACCTGGGTGGCTAAGTCAGTTAAGCGTTTGACTTCGGCTCAGGTCATGATCTCACGGTTTGTGGGTTCGAGCCCCACGTCAGGTTCTGTGCCGACAGCTCAGAGCCTGGAGCCTGCTTCAGATTCTGTGTCTCCCTCTCTCTCTGACCCTCCCCTGCTCACACGGTCTCTCTCAGAAATAAAATTTAAAAAAAGAAAAAATTAAAAAAAAAGAGTCAACTGTATTTGGTTTTTATCCATTACTTCTGGAACATGGTTCCAAAAACTCTTACAAATTTCCTATATAAGAGCCACAGGGGCATTTTTTATTATAATACTTAATTACATTCCCAGTTCCTGGAATAAGTCCAGAGAGAAAGGTGAAATGGTGTCTTTTTTATAACAAGCCCCTTTTCAACCACAGGAGTTTTAAGTTAACAAGGGACTTCTAGAAAGCACTTAAGGAACAGGACTGGTCACCACAGTAACTCTTAGCCCCACCTCCTGGGCTCCAGGGAGGAAGAGGAGCTGCAGGCTGACATGCCAAATGCCAATGATCTAATCAATCATGCCTTGGTAGTAATGCCTCCAAAACTCCAAAAAGATGGGGTTCAGATGGCTTCTGAGTTGAACATGTGGAGGTACTGGGAGGGGATGGAAGCTCTGGGATTGCTTCTTCCACCTGGCTTCTCCTGAGTTCTGTGAGCCCCTCTGAGCAAAGTAACTGAACCAGAGGAGGGAGTCACGGGAAACCTCTAATTCACAGCCAGTCAGTCAGAAACACGGGGAACAATGCCTGGGCCTGGGATTGGCCTTTGGGGTGGTTGGGGGCAGGGAGGCAGGCTCATGGGACTGAGCCCTGAACATGCAGTATTGGATGGGATGGCCTGGTGGATGACATCAGGATTGAGTTACATTGTAGGACACTCAGCTAGAGTCCCAGAATTGCTTGGTGTGAGAGAAATCCCCACATATTTGGTAACCATAAGTGTCAGAAGAGTAGAGAACTGAGAGTAGAGAAGACACACGGGAGCACGTTCTTTCTGCCTGGTGACCTGGGCTCAACAGACAGAAGGGCCAGAGAGGTGGAACCGTGGAATTTTCAAGCCCTAACTGATGACGGTTATCAGGTGACAAACTCCACAGCAGGACAAGCCCCAGTGCCATCCCCCCCACTAAGCACACACATGTATAATACAGGCACATGCAAGTGTACACACATCTGTACATACCCAACCCTTGTATGATTCCTTCCTAGCAGCTCCCTGTCTCTAAGCCTTAGTTTTCTCACCTATAAAATGGGGGAAAGACCAATTCCTCTCTTCCAGAGGCTTCAGGAAGAATGACATTTGATGACTTACTAGAAACCACTTGTAAACCACAAAGATACAATGATCTAAAATGCTGTCTCTGGGGTGCCTGGGTGGCTCTGTCGGTTAAACGTCTGACTTTAGCTCAAGTCATGATCTCACGGCTCAGGAGTTCGAGTCCCGCATCCAGCTCAGAGCCTGGAGCCTGCTTCAGATTCTGTCTGTCTCTTTCTCTCTCTGCCCCTCCCCCACTCATGCTCTATTGCTCAAAAAAAAAAAAAAAAAAGAAAAAAAGAAAGAAAAGAAAAATAAAAATCTCATCTCTTTCTTCTAGTCAAAGTCTTAAAGGTCAGTGGGGGTAAATAATGGGCCAGCAGAGCACAAAGTGGCTTCAACACCTCTGCGGGTCTGTACTGCCAGGGCTATGTGGCTCTGCTTAGAGTGACACAGAAACTCTCTAACAGCAGAAATCATGAAGTAAGAAAGAGGGGTCAGGATGCATGGCTGGCTCAGTCAGAAGAATGTGTGACTCTTGATTTTGGGGTGGTGAGTTCCAGCCCCTCACTGGGTATAGACATCACTAAAAAAATAAAATAGGGGTGCCTGGGTGGCTCAGTCAGTTGAGGGATCGAGCCCCAAGTTGGGACTCCTTTCAAGGAAGTCAGCTCCCATTAGAGCACCAGAAAGCACACGACTTAAAAGGAAAAGCACATGGCCTGTCTCACTGCCGCGGAGCAGCTGAGCTGAGGAGGGAACCACCAGCCCCACTGGCTGGGAGCCACCGCACGACTTCAGGTGGCGGCGCCCGGTGTAAGGTGAGGACACTCTCGCCTCTGTTTCTTCTAACCTCAGAGCCTGTCTTTCACCATGTGAAATAAAGAACCTGTGTGTCTGTGTGGATTCAAGTTTTGTGAAACAGTTTTCTGTATTTTCTCTGGGTCTTCAATCAATATATAAAACCCAGACTAGCTGATGGTAGCTGAGCCAAGAGCCTGCTGTTTCCTTCCCCCTAAAACAGTTTCAACATGGAAACAGTGCTTCTGATAGTTTCTACACAGAGTTTTGTTTATTCCTGGTAGTGGAAAACCCACTACGGTGACCAGGTAGAGGTGTGACCAGCCACCAAAACCTCCCCACCCTGAATGGGGAATGTCACCTCCAGAGGATGGGAGGAGCTGGAGAAGCGCCACCAACACTGGGGGCCAAGAGAGGCCGCAGGACAAGCAAACACCAGGTGAAAACCACCACGGCAGTGAATCCATTCCGTTCCAGTCGTAAAGATATTTTTCAAACTCAATTTTGGCCATTCCAGTACATTTTTACGTATTTTCTTCTCTTATCATGTCTATCCCTTTAATTCTTTCCTTGTGTTTTATGTCAGAAAATTTCAAACATAGAAAAGCTGAAGGAATTCTATAGTCTATATAACCACTGCCAGGATCCTACAGGGGACATTTTGCGACATGCGCTAGCACACGAGAGTCCACCTCTCTACACCTCTATTCGTCCATCAATCCATCTTATTTCTTTTTAACGCATTTCAAAGTAAGCTGCAGACACTAGGACATTTCACCTCTAAAGACTTAAACATGCGTATCATTAACTAGAATTTAATATCTGTTAACGGTTTTTCTATTTTTTTTCCATTTAAGGTAATACATACACCAAAATGATCAAATCTGGAGCGTACAATGTGATCACACCAGAAAGTTCCCTCATACCTCTTCCTATCCAACTCTCAGAAACTACTATTGTTCTGATTTTTAAAAAAATGTTTATTTTACTTTGACAGAACAAGAGTGAGAGCGAATCCCAAGCAGGCTTTGCTGTTAGTGCAGAGCAGGTGCAGGGCTTGATCCCACACTGTTGATCCCATTGATCCCACTCCCAGGAGCTCCTGCTTTTTTTTTTTTTTTTTTTAACATAGATTAGTTTTGCCTCATGTAGAACTTCATATAAATAGGATTATACAATGTGGTCTCTTTTATGCAAGGCTTCTTTCACTCAACATACATTTTAAGAATCATCCACGTTATTGCATATATCAGTAGTTTGTTCCTTTTTATTGCTAAGTAGTATTCTATTTTTGTGAATGATTATTTTAATGTTTGTTTATTTTTGAGAGAGAGACAGGCTGGGGAGGGGCAGAGACAGAGGAAGACACAGAATCTGAAGCAGGTTCTTAGCTCTGAGCTGTCAGTGCAGAGCCAGATGCAGGGCTTTAACTCACAAACTGTGAGATCATGACCTGAGCCGAAGTCGGACGTTTAACTGACTGAGCCACCCAGGTGCCCCTTGTGAATGATTATTTGAAACATAGGAAGAAGTCCTACAGTTAGTCTAATTTTTTTTGAAGTGAATTATTAGAAAATCACATGCTACTGGCTAAAGTGGTTTCCTCCTTTATAAAAAGCAACTAAGGGGTGCCTGGGTGGCTCAGTCAGTTAAGTGTCTGACTCTTTATCTCAGCTCAGGTCTTGATCTCAAGGTGGTGAGTTCACAACACAAATACATATCATTGTAAAGTATGTGAATCTCTCTAAAACACACAAATGTATTCCATGAAAAAAAGGCACCATAGTCAGACTGAGGAAAAGGTCTTTTCCAGTGCATGCTGTAAGATTAAGAATGAGGGGCAATCTCTAATGCATGTTAAAAGGAGAAATCAAATGTGGGAGTCACAAAGAATTTGCCAAATAATATTTGGTTTTTATATTAATAGCCAGGTGAGAAAAGAGAAGAGCACTGAAATATCAGTATTTTTTTTTCTGATTTTTACTAATAAATAAAATTAAGAATAAAATATAAAGGAGCATCTAGAACCACTGCAATAAAAAAAAACAACAACAACTTAAAATCTTGGGGGCCCTTGGGTGGCTCAGTAGGCTAAGTGTCTGCCTTTGGCTCAAGTCATGATCTCACGGTTCATGGGTTCAAGTCCTGCACCAACCTCTGCAGTGACAGTGTGGAGCCTGCTTGGGATTATCTTTCTCTCTCTGTCCCTCCCCAACTTGGCACTTTCTCTCTCTCCAAATAAACAAATTTAAAAAAAAAAAAAACTTAAAATCTTTGGGGTGCCTAGCTGGCTCAGTGAGTAGACCTCGCAACTCTTGATCTCAGGGTTGTGAGTTTGAGCCTCACACTGGGCATGGGGCCTACTTAAAACAAACCCTCCTCAAACTTAAAATCTATGAATAAATATAGTGAGATAAATATCAAATCTCGATAAATCATCATTGAGAGACACAGAAAGATTTAAACAAAAACGATAAAAGTTTTTAGAGGGAATAACACTATAACATCCATTCTCATTCAGTTTAAGTGACAGATTCAACTCAATTCTAGTAACAACACCAAAAATCCAACACGGTTTTTGGTGTGGATAAAATAACTCCAAAATTCTCTCTGAAAAATAAAACAAGCGAAATGTCCAAAGAGCATTTTTAAAGAACAATCAGAAAGACGTTTCTGGACCTTCCAGTCAGGTAATAAAAAGCTTAATAGTTCTTTTTTTAATTTTTTTTTAAATATTTAATTTTTTTAAAAACATTTTTATTTATTTCTAGGAGAGAGAGGGAGATACAGACACTGAAATAGGCTCCAGGCTCTGAGGTGGCAGTCAGCACAGAGCCAGATACGGAGCTCGAACCCGCAAACCGCGAGATCATGACCTAAGTGAAAGTCAGACGCTTAACCGACTAAGCCATCCAGGCACCCCGCTTAATAGTTCTTATAATACAATTTCTAACTTTATTTTTGAAAAAGAGACACACAGAGCATGAGTGGGGGAGAGGCAGAGAGAGAGAGAGAGAGAGAGAGAGACAGGGAATAGAAGCAGGCTCCAGGCTCTGAGCTGTCAGCACAGAGCCTGACATGGGGCTCAAAACCACAAACCGTGAGATCATAACCTGAGCCGAAATTGGACGCTTAACCGACTGAGCCACCCAGGTACCCCTCAATTTCTAAAGCCATTCCTAATTCTTAATTATTTGACACCCGTCATGAAGAAATTCCAATCTCTATGCTAGACAACTCAAAGTAGACATAGGCACACACACTAGTCAGACCAAACACACAGCTGAATGGAATTATAGGCATTCAGCCAAAAAGAGAAAAACAGAATGAGAAGTAATAACTCAAATGATGCGAGAGAGCCTGCTTTCTATTCCATTTCACAGCAAATGGCCTGGAAGGGAGAGGGGACTCTGCTGTCCCTTGGACCCACAGGGAAGACTCCCTCCTCTCATACATCTCCCATCTGGATGTGCTGAATCTGACCCAGGAGCAACATGGATTTACCTGAGGTCATCTTCTCATGCTGACTTACAAAGGCAGCCGTCACAAAAGTCAGGAGCCAGGTGTATCTCCTCTTCTTTACAGCCCTTTCCAGGGGCACCTGGGTGGCTCAGTTAAGCGCCCACCTTAGGTCATGATCTTATGGTTCCTGAGATTGAGCCCCACATCAGGCTCTGTGCTGACAGCCAGGAGCCTACTTGGGATTCTCTCTCTGCCCCTCCCCCGCAGACTCTCTCTTTCTCGAAACAAACAAACGAAGAACAGCAGCTTTTTCCTAAAAGTCCCAGGTGCACATTGCCCAAACCTCGGCCCCGCCGGCCTCTTCACTCACTGACCTTCTCAGCCATGGCATCCATGTAGTCCTGCCGCTGGTACTCTCTCCGGCGCAGATGCCTGTACACATGGAACTCTCCACTGCCAGCCCCAGCGCTTGAACCTAAAGCCAGGAAGAGTCCAGAGTTCTTAATGAAATCCAGTTACCGACACAGGCTGCCCTGAATCAAAAGGGACCAAAAAAAGAAACTGGAAGTAATGGAAAGGCCCATGCCCCATCGAACTCCAGAATGTGGCAGTGATTTGCATAGTGTAGGCATCATTAAATAATTGTTGCATGAATGTTGAAGGTGAAGTCATTAAAAATTCCACTCTAACACAGTAGTTAAGAGTCTGCAGTTAAGTGACTAGAAACCTAGAAGATAGCTTCAGACTTTTCCCTCCCCAGCCAGATGATTTCACACTTGACATGCTAAATTTCTACTGGGCTGAAAAGACGTCCGTGTACATTAAAGTAAAAAAGTAGGTTATTAAATAGTATGTGTAGAATAGCCATATTTTAAAAAATCATTTTTTCTTAAACATGAGTGGTTTTGACTATGGGTGTTTAGAAGGCTATAGCAGAATGTTACAAGGGGAAAGATGGAATTAAGGGGCTTCAAAATTTTTCATACCTCTGTTATTACTCTTTATAATCAGTACGTTAACTTTCTTTTTTTTTTTAATGTTTTATTTATTTCTGAGAGAGAGAGAGAGAGAGACAGTGTGAGCAGGGGAGGGTCAGAGAGAGAGGGAGACACAGAATCTGCAGCAGGCTCCGGGCTCTGAGCTGTCAGCACAGAGCCCCATGCAAGGCTCAAACCCACAAACTGTGAGATCATGACCTGAGCCGAAGTCGGATGCTTAACCGATGAGCCACCCAGGCGCCCCAGTATGTTAACTTTCAACCCCCAAAATAATAAAACTATTTCCAGTTAGATTAAAAAAAAAAATACATGTTATTTAAACACAGAAGGGGCTCCTGGATGGCTCAGTCGGTTGAGCTCCTGACTCTGATTTCAGCTCAGTCATGATCTCACGATTCGTAGGTTCGAGAGTAGGGCCTGCTCGGGATTCTCTTTCTCTCTCCCCCTCTCTGCCCCTTCCCTGCTTTCGCGGACTCTCTAAATAAATAAGTAAACTTAAAAAAAAAAAATGCAGAAGACAATTATCTAATGTTAAACTAAGCAACAATACCTTTTTGCTTTAAGTACAAAATTACTAAAACAGTGAACTCTTTTTTCCTATTATAGATCTAATTAACAAATAATAACTGCGGTTTTTCATATCTACTCTTCAAAAATTGTATTTACCCATAACCACACACAAGACATTACCCATTACATCTCGAACAAATTCTGGGGGTGGCCGGGGTGCCCATTCACTCATTTTTTCTGGAATTGGAACTGCTTTGTCCTGCAACATTTAAACACAAAAGCATTTTTAAGCACAAACCTGCTGACAAATTCATATCTCTTAAAACCAAAGCAGTTTTAACTGGATTGGTGAAGAAATCCAAAGGCTGCTTTGCTTCTTGGACCTACAGCTGATTTTCTTCGCTGCCTTAGATTTACTTCATACCATATACTTTGGGGCCTCCCACGGCCCATGGCCTTGCCAGGCTACACTGAACTTTCCAAAACAGAATTCAGAAACGTAAGTCACCACTTATGGCTGGAAACCTCTAACCCTAACCCTACTACATGTAGTGTCAACTCTTTCTAGCCAAAGGTGTAAGAGACCTCATCCAATTATTTTTATGACTGAGGGAATCGAGACCCCGACACAGGGAGGGACTTGCTCCGGGTGGCCTGGCCAATGCCTCTCTAACAATCGGTGCTGTTTAGAAGAAAATAAACCCTTGTGCTAACCCATGAATTTTATTTTTCCAGGCAACGCTTCTGTTCACAGAAAGTTAAACTAGAAGTGTCTAAAGGCACGGGAAGCCGCTCCACAGCACCCTCATCCAGGCTGGGCTCCAACATAAGGACAGAAGAGGCTCAATGTCTCCAAGGTAGCCTACTCCTTCCTAAGGGCTGACCCTGGAGTTCGGGCACTGAGTTCCTAAGTTTGGAGATGGGGGAGGTGGGCCCGCGAATCCGCAGAAGCGCTGGAACGGAAGGGGACTCGGAGGAGTCGAACCAGTGCCTCGTCTCACCGGGTTCTTCATGAGCCGCTCCAGCTTGAGCTTCTGCTCTTCTGCCGCATTCTTGGGGATGACGAGCGCTTGTGGCTCTTTCTTGGGCCTCGGCGGTCGCACCGAGGGAGCAGCCGAACTCGCCATGACAGCTTTCCAGTTATCCCGCCCAGCGGTGGCGGCGGAGGCGGCGGCGCGTACGTATGACGACAGAGCCGCGCGCAAGCAGCGCAAGCGCAGTCTTCTTGCGGGGCGGGGCTGGGGCGGAGTCGTCAGCCGGAAGCATCCTGCTGAATATTCATGAGGTCGTGGCCGGGTGGGCTGGCTTGAAAGCCGTTTGCTTTCATTTCCTGTTTGTACAAAGCAGGGCATCCGAGCTCTCAAGTTCCTATAGGAGAGGTGGCCTTGCACGCCCGAGGGTGCGACCCCCGTCGCCCTCTCCAGTCGGCAGGCGGGTCGTGGCGCCTCCGGGAGCCCTGCTAATGGCTCTCAGCATCCCCTTCTGCCCCTGGGCCTTTGTCCTGGCCGTTCCTTGGGGCTGGTCCACTCTCCCTCCCGTTTCTGACAATCTTATGAGAAAGAGAAAAGGGCCCTTCCTGTCTGGGGGCTGGCTTGGCACTCACAGCTAGGCTTTGATGTCCTGCTGTTGGGCGTAAACAATTTCCGAGAACACCAACATCACACAGGCATAAACAAGACTGTTCTGTAATCATGTCTGAAGTAGATGAAAACAGGAATATTGTTGGATCCTCATTCTGGCTCTTATGAGTAACTGCTGCTTCTTTAAAGCATTAACCTTGGTTCACTTTATTTCTCTCTCTCTTTTTTTTTTTCTGGTTCACTTTAAATATTCATTAGGACAGCCAGTCATGGAATTGTGTTGCTTCCTGACAGCGTCTAATCTAGAGTTAAATCCATTTACTTGAACCCTCCCCCAAATCACTTCACCCAGGCCCACATCCTGTAATAAATTCTCTTTCACAACCCCTTGTTGAAGTCAGTGTAGTCTTCCTCCGCAAAAGAGGCAACAGAACCACTTTTGGTCAACTGCAGGGGTATTTCTGATGATCTTCACATTTGCTAGTTTTCTTTTTTTTTTTAATTTTTTAATGTTTTATTTATTTCTGAGAGAGAGAATGAGCAGGGGAGGGTCACAGAGAGAGGGAGACACAGTATCTGAAACAGGCTCCAGTCTCTGAGCTGGCTGTCAGCATAGAGCCTAACGCGGGGCTCGAACCCATAAACCGTGAGATCATGACTTGAGCCAAAGACGGACGCTTAATCGACTGAGCCACCAAGATTCTTGTGTATCATTTGTCACCAGCTAAAGAATGGGCATTCTGGGGGCGCTTGGGTGGCTCAGTTGGTGGAGCGTCTGACTTTGGCTCAGGTCACGATCTCACTGTGAGTTTGAGACCTGCGACAGGCTCTGTGCTGACAGCTCAGAGACTGGAGCCTGCTTCGGATTCTGTGTCTCCCTCTCTCTCTGCCCCTCCTCCATTCATGCTGTGTTTCTCTCTGTCTCAATAATAAATAAACATTACAAAAATTAAAAAAAAAAAAAGAATGGGCGTTCTGTTCACTGCTGAATTTTGACATCTGGGGCAAAGACTGGCTCTCAGCAAAGTACACAATTAACCCTTGCTGATGACCATGAGATCCTGGGGCCCAGGCACCTCACATACTACTGTTGCAGCTGTCTGCACAGCCTGCTCAGCCCAGGCAGCTCTCCTACTGAGTGTCACGGTTTAGCCAGGTGACCCATTGACAGGGTGTTTTGTTAATGTCCTAAGGCCTTTCCTGGCCCCCCTGATAGTGGGTGGTTTTCCAGTGACCAAGGGTGATGAATTAGGAGAAGTCCCTGACTGGTCTATGTCTGTCACTGGAACCTAGGGAGAGCTTGACTTGGATGTGGTCATGGACACATGACCTACATCATATACCCCAGCTACCCAAGTACCTCACTTTTCCCCAAATGTACCACACACAAAAAAAGACTTGACCTGGAGTACCTTTCCCTCCCTGGAGAACTGCCCTACACCCTTCTTAACTTTGTTTAAATGCTACCTCCTCCACGAAGCCTCCTCGGATTGCCCCTCTGTTCCCTCTTCCAGGCAGTTAGTTGCTCCCTTCTTGGTGCTCTCCCTACTCTGGGTCCTGATGGCTGGCATATGGTAGTTAGCACAGCGTGTCCTCACCATCTGCCTACCCACGAGTCTGGGAGGAGGGTTGAGCCAAATGCCAGCATCTAATCCTGGCCTCGAGTAGAGTGGTGCTTCCAGAATGCTTGCAAAATAGGAATTAGGGAAGGAAGAAGGTGGGGGGGGGGGGATGGAGAGTCAACAAATTGCCTGGAAAAATAAAGAAAGAAAGAACAGATGTGTCAATGTGATAACCAAGGGATGGATGAATGAATGAAAAAGGAATTTCAGTGAGTCTGCAAAAGAATGAAGGAACACTCAATAAATAAGGAATGAATGAACACACGAGATAGTGGATCAGCAGAGAGCTAAGAGCCAGGAGAGCAGCCGTCTCTCTGTCACCCCCCACCTCCGGGTCTGGCACAGAGCTGGTGCTTGGCAGATAGCTTCTGGATGGAAGTTAAGTCAGCGAAGGAAGTGAATGAGTGCACAAGGGTGGGGGGCATGTGGGTGTGATAGAGCTGGTAATTACAACCTCAGTGTCTAAGCCTAGTCTAAGTGTGTCGACATGCTCATCATCCTGATTTACAGAGGAGGAACTGAAGCCCAGAGGGGAGAGTGACTGGCTCAGGGTCACACAGACTCAAACGCAGCAACTCTGGCCCTAGGTCTGTGAGGGTCTGATTGATCACGTGTCTCGTGGATGGCTGGACCAAGGGCCCCAGCAGGCCTTGGTGGGGTCCCTCCACGCGGCGCCTTTCTAGGGCTGAGGCCAGATTTGAGGTTCTGCTGCGGGGGGGGGGGGGGGGGGAAGGGTATCTTCCTGCTCCCACCACTGGCTGCCCCTCTGACCCAGAGTGCCTCCTCGGCTGCCACCAGAGGGCAGCAGAGCTCTACCCAGGTGCACCTGCTATCCCGGGCCCCTGAAGCTGGGGGGTGGGGGGTGGGGAGGGGGTTGGAGTCTGGCAGATCTGGTGCCAAAGTTTGGCTCCACCTATTCTGGAGTGTGGGCTGGGTAAGCAACTTAACCTCTTGAAGGCTGTTTCCTTATGCACAAGTCAGGGGACAAACAAACCCACCCTTGACACTTTCTTGTGAATAAAACAATGTGACGGATATTCAGTGCGCTGACACTCAATGCTAGGGTGACCACATATCCCAGCTTGGTCCCAGGACAGAGGGGTTTCTCAGGATGCAGGACTTTCAGTGTTAAAACCAGGAGAATCTCGGGCACACTGGCACAGCTAGTCACCCTAGCGGGGTGGGCACTTCTACTTTTAATCCTTTGAGTTGTGGTTGGTACTTAAAGAACCAAAACAGCAAAAATATTTACAGCTATTCCATAATTTGGGTTTCTCACTGAACTAGTGAGTCAGTGGTCTTTCTGTGATGGTCCTGCCATCCCTGACAAGAGGAAAGTTCCACCAAGGGGAACAAAAACTAAGGCGGAATACACCCACTTGGGAAAAGGGTTTGTCAGTTTGCTCTCGAGATAAACATACATGTACGATACAACCTGGAAAGCTCACTCCTAGGGCACCTGCATGGCTCAGTCAGTTAAGCGTCCCGACTTGAGCTCAGGTCATGATCTCACAGTTCGTGGGTTTGAGCCCCACCTTTGGGTCTCTGTTGTGAGCATGGAGCCTGCTTCAGATCCTCTGTCCCCCTCTGTTTCTCCCCCGCTTGCACTCTCTCTCTCTCTCTCTCTCTCTCAAAAATAAGTATTTAAAAATAAAAATAAAACATCTAATTTTTTTTCTTAAAGAGGGGGCCACCTGGGTGGCTCAGTCAGTTGAGCGTCTGACTTCTGCTAAGGTCATAATCTCATGGTTCATGAGTTCGAACCCTAGACTGGGCTCTCTGTTGTCAGTAAAGAGCCTGGCTTCAGATCCTCTTTCTCTCTTTCACCCTTCCCCTGCTTATTCATGCTCTCTCTCTCTCAAAAATAAATTAAAACATTAAAAAAAAAAAAAGAAATCTCACGACTTGGCATTACCCTAGAGAAATGAAAGTATGTGTCTAGTGAAAGACCTATATGTGAATACCTACAGTAGCTTGATTCAAAATTGCCTCAAACTGGAAACAACCCAAATGACCATCAAAATGTGATACATCCATACAGTGACGCACTGCTGAGGAATAAAAAGGAAGGAACTATTGATATTTGCAACCACATGGATGAATTTCAAAAGCATTGTGCTTAGTGAATGAAGCCAGATTCAAAAGGCTACAACCTGAATGATTCTATTACTTGACATTCTGGGAAAGCCGAAATGATGGTGACAGAATATGGACCAGTAGATGCCAGGGGCCAAGGGCAGGAGAAGGGGATTGACTGTAAAGGGGCCAAGGGAACTTTGGGGGGTGATGAACATGGTGTATGTCTGGATTGGGGTTGTGGTTATGTGAACATACACATTTGCCAAGCTCATTGAAGTATATGCTTAAAAAGCATGAATTTCAAGGCACCTGGGTGGCCCGGTTGGTTGAGCATCCAACTCTTGATTTCTGCTCAGGTTATGATCCCAGGGTTGTGGGATCAAACCCCATGTGGGGCTCTGTGCTGAGCGTGGAAATTGCTTGAGATTCTCTCTCTCCCCCTCTGCTCCTCTCTCCACTCATGCTTGCTCTCTCTTTCCCTCTCTCTAAAATTAAATTAAATTAAATTAAATTAAAAAAATGTTTAAAGAGTGAATTTAAGGGGTGCCTGGGTGGCTCAGTCAGTTAAGTGTCCAACTTTGGCTCGGTCATGATCTCACAGTTTGTGGGTTCAAGCTCTACATCAGACTCTCTGCTGACAGCTCATAGCGTACAGCTGCTTCAGATTCTGTGTCTCCCTCTCTCTCCCGCCCCTCCCCTGCTTGTGCTTTCTCTCTCTCTCAAGAATAAATAAGGAAACTTAAAAAAAATGTTTTTAACGTTTATTTATTTTTGAGAGACAGAGCATAAGCAGAAGGGGCAGAGAGAGAGGGAGACACAGAATCTGAAGCAGGTTCCAGGCTCCAAGCTGTCAGCACAGAGCCCAACAT